ATGGGCCACCTTTACCCTGTCATGATCATACATGTCCTCTTAAAGGTTCTTCTGTTTCTAGCTAGAACTACAGAACAGGATTTAGCATGAATGGAGAAACTTGAAGTGGCAGACAAATTCAAAATAAAGACAATTATGCTGTTCTGACTGCTCAGCACCTTAAACTTTACAAAATGGAAATTTAAAGGTTACATGTAATCTCTTAAATCAACTTAGATGTTTGTAACCAGACAGCAGATCTGTACGTGACGTGCTGCTGAAGTTATCTAATTATGTCACATTGTGGAATATCTTTCAAAGTAAATCACATGATAATAATTTCATGATATGCAAAGGCTAAAATAGAAGTTCAGTGCAGGCTAAGCTTTGTGTTTTGCACTATTGTGGTATAGTTCACAGTGACAGCCTGTAGCATCAGTGACTGTTGCTAGGTTAGGTCCTGGGCAACAACAGAGACATACGAGAGATGTGGCAGCAGGCACAGTGCCCAGATTTGGATGGGCCAGAGTGTAATTTGGGCTGGATCTTTTAAATAATCTTATAAATTAACAAAACAGTGGATTGTATTGTAAAGATCTATATAAGCTTCATCATTATCTTCTTGTTATTATTATAATTATTGTTATTATTTCTGTTACTCTATTGATTTTCCTTTTTTCTCATTTACTTTGCCCGCCTCCTCTTCTTGATGTCCAAAGTCACCCTACAGACGACCCTGCGATGCTTCCCCTGACATCAGCTTGCAGTCTCCTGCCTCTTTTAGATTGCACCTTTGAATGAGATGGACTCCACCTTCCTCCACTCTTATGTTACTCCAGCTGGTAACTCCCTAACACCCGGAGCCCAAATACTGTACAGAATTCTTCCTTCTTCAGCTTCCACCAATGGAGGATGTTCATTCACTTAAACACCAAGATCCAAAATATAAATAATAAATAAACTATCTTATGAATGAAAGAGAAAGAAAAGCTCTCACTCCTGTTTTTCTAGGTTTTTATACTTTTATACTTTCAGTATAAAATGTATTCGCTGTGTTAAGTGACTTTATTGTCACTCTAACCTCTTTGCCAGCAGTCTATTACAAACTGATGTAAAGCCCATTTGTGCTGTAAAAACAAACAAATAAAAAAAACTGTGTAAACCACTAAAGAAAATGCAACAATGCACATCCAACAATTACAGGTGACCTATTAGTTAATAATTTACATGATAATTGAGTTGCTTAGATTTGAGAGGTATTCGTCAGTGTAAAATGACCTGTTATGATCGCTCAGAATTCACCTGTGGTAACTTCTTAAATGCTTTTACTTTTGTAGAACAGAGAGCACATTTGAAAAACTGAAAATAAAACCAAAGAAATCACTTCTGATTGGCAGCCAGGATGGGGCTGTTGTTAGGCCCCTCCCACCTGTAGGATGGCAGTGAAGTGAGGTGATTTTCAAACAGCAAACATACTGGTTGTTATACTTACAGGGATAAAACTTTATAAAGCTTTGTGTGCAAAGTCATTTTTAAGTGTTTTATTATTTTTTTACAGTCAAATTTGACTCGATGTTCTGCACATGCACTTTTATGTCCCGCTCACTATTAAAATAAAAGTTAATTTAGGTATTGCTTCAAATGAGGTGTTCCTCAGTGTGCCTGCTGACTAACAGCATTTGCTTCTAAAGGAAGCAACTTGACTTGAATTTAAGCTGTTGATGTTCATAGTGTCACAGTAACAAATTCCATCTTATTCACTAACTGTATCTATAACTGTAAAACAAACTACCTGCCAAACCCACTTTAACTGTCTGCAGTGGATTACACTTAAATTTATACATTCCCCACAGAGCAAACTGACTACTACAAATCAATAAGTCATAAAGAAAACAGCATCTCTCTCACCTTTTGAAAAGATCGCCAGTAAAGAAAAGATCAGTGTGATTTTACGTCCTGCCATGTTGTCTGTGTGCCGCCAAATAAAAAAAAGAAAAATTTGAATCTTACCGCTTGACCAGTCCGTACCATCTCTGGGTGTGCAGTGAAAAAAAAAACATAATAAAAGATTATCCCTTTTATTAACAACAGCTACATGTCATATGATGATGTTCACTTGGATATCTAATAAGTCAGTAATCTGATAATATTTACTATTTTGGAAACCCTGTCTGTCGTTTTACAGCACATTTATTCCTCATCGTCCCCTCTTCACAGTGCAGTGGAACAGACTTACTTTCACTTTCGTTTTGAACTCGCAAAAAGAATGAACGTGCCTTTGTTTCTCTAAAAGGAGACGCAACACCTCAGACTGTGGTGTGAAACACGCCTGATCTCTTACATGTACTGATCACATTTTGTCTATTTCATTCAACAAAACAGGAGAAGGTGAAGCTCGCCGCAGACGCTGAGTCATATTGGGGAATAACTCCCATCTAATAATGAATGACTGAATCTCACTGCGGCTCAAACCAGCCAAAGTTTTCATTCAGAGTTCACTGATGAGATTATTTACTTCCAGACAAGACAAAGCAGCATTGCTCAGCTTATTAATTGCTTTATTCTCAATCATACAAAACATCAAAATAAAATCACCAAAACAGGTTTCCGTGTTCATTATCTATATTTATTATTATTAAAATATTAATAAGATGAACATGAAGGAAGAAAGAAAGATGGGTTCCCACTTCCCCTGTATTCACCAAAAACGAACAACCTCACAAAGTGCTTTCAGTTTGTTATAACTTCATGTACACGTTGGAGTATACATCCGATTACATTAATTCTATAGCATTTTAGCAAAAAATAAATATTTTTCATAAGCAGTGCAGTGTTGTTTGTGTGTTTATCAAATCAAATATGAATAAAAAATAATGCTAACAATATTTGATGGTTTGATGGATTTTTAATGGAACTAGATAGAACCAACATTCCTGGGTTAAGTGAAAACTTAAACCATATGTATGCGCTATATTTTTGTACAGATGCTGACAAACTGAATTGTAAAAATCTGTAAAATTTCACAACAAACAGAGAACTTCAATTTCAGCAATGGGAGCAAAAATGACTAAAGTGAAAATTTTATGTTGATCACTCCTGTTGATTTTCAAAGTTTTCATTTGAAGTAATTAAGTGTAATAATATCCACCAAAAAAAAAAATCCTTTTTTATCACCAACGTTTCCTTTTCCTTAATAATTTATGTATAAAAAAAAAACTTTAAAAAATGTAGTAAAATTTAGCACAAACATAATAGTTGCAGCATGAACACCAGGAAAGCTTCTTGAATGCCTCAGTGGAACAGGTTTTTGTGTGTTGTGTTTGTCAAACTCTAGCACCATTTTGTTCAGAAATGCCACACTTCATTAAAGAGAAATCAACAATGGTCAAGATCAGATCTTCATCCTGATAAAGACGTGAGCCCTGGATGGTCTCCCTCAGGATGTTTGTGTTTTCTGAGCGGATTGTCACCTCGTCTGACTAAAAGTGTTTTGGTTCCTAAATTAAAACAAAATGAGAAGATAAAGAGTGACTTACATCATTGATCTCATTTGTCTCGAGCTCGCTGTGTGACAAATACAGTTAAAACTGCAGAAACATTTAGCAGCTGAATCAAATTGACAAACAGTAACAGAAAGAGTACCTGCTCTGAGATTTCTTTTTAGGCCAGACAAAGATGAGTGTAGTAAAACAGGCCAACAACAACAACAACACAGAGGAAAGAATGACTAAAATCCTTCCTTTGAGAAAAACAGAGAAAAGAAGGACATAATCATTGAAATCTACTAAATAACAATAGAGTGAACAGAAAACCTGAGTGTAAAGCATTCGAATGTAAACACACCAAAATTTCTGTGATAGGATCCATCATTCAGACCTGTTAGAAGGAACCTCAACATTAAAATCACAAAGTAATCACCAATTTATAAATCAATCATTTTAAAAGAGTTTCTAACCATCATCATAATCATCATCATCATAATCATCATACTCCTCCTGGACCTCAGGAATCGTCAGCATCACCTCTCTGTGAGGAGCAGAGAGCACTCGTGCTGCACATCCCACCTGTGTGCTGTGTTTAC